TCAACATAATATCCATTTTTTTATTGATAGAACTTAGAATTCCATTAATAGTAAATACAGAAACTTTCATAATATCCTGATATTCAGAATCTTTTAATATTTTGTAAGCCATGTTTAAAAATTTTTAAATTAGGAAGGGTGGTATCAAGCTTAATCGTTTATCCATTTCATTTATAGCTTCTTGCCTACCATGGTATTTGAGAAACTGTCAGCTATATTCCAGTTGATAACTGAATAAACCAATATCTAAATGATGCAAACGATCTGGAATTGTTGCACTATATACATTAAAATTCCTAATAAAATTAAAAGTCAATTAATTAATTTGATTAATTAATTTTAAAACTAAAATCTTGATGAAGTATATTAATAGTTTATTACACTTACTTAAGATTCCATAAAGAATTTTGAAGACAGATAATTGATAAATCTGTTCCATAACCACCATATAATGCTGCTTTCATAGATTCTGGTGTTTGTTTAATTAGCTCTTTTTCATCTAAATAAATATTTGATAAATTTTGTTTGGAAATTATACAATGATGACATGGATATTTTGCATTTGCAGATTTTGATGTTAAGCAATATGTAGCTGCTTCAGGTAAATCAGCTAGAATTAATGTTAATTGAATAAAAATCCATTCTAATTTTTGACCAATATATGCATTAAAACCAATAAAAGATTGATTATATATAGGCTTAAGAATAATATCCAAACATTTATGAAATATTTGCCGAACTTCCTTTCTAAAAGCATCTGATTTGCGTTCAGTTTGATTCTTTGCAGCCAGAATTGGCAAAAATCCAATAATTGATTTAGCATATTGTTTGTTACGATATTTTTGTGGTATATTTCCTAATGTTAAAAAAATTGGATGTCGAGTGGTTTTACCAAGTACATCACATGTTGTTGCATCAGAATATAAGATCAGTGATATAAGTTTAGCTCCAACAGGAATTGTTATTTGAGTTCTTTTCCACCAATCTGAATTATACATTTCAGAATAACAACGCATTTTTTTTTCATCCTATTATAAATAAATAAATTATATAAATTTATATAAATTAACTTATTGAAATATAATTTATAAATAATCTTACTTCATAAATA